CACTTCTGTTATACCACTAACACTTCTGTTATACCACTAACACTTCTGTTATACCACTAACAATACTGTTATACCACTAACAATACTGTTATACCACTAACTATACCACTAACAATACTGTTATACCACTAACTATACCACTAACAATACTGTTATACCACTAACACTGCTGTTATACTACTAACACTACTGTTATACTACTGCTATACTACTTGTTATACTACTGACACTGCTGTTATACCACTAACAATACTGTTATACCACTAACAATACTGTTATACCACTAACTATACCACTAACAATACTGTTATACCACTAACTATACCACTAACAATACTGTTATACCACTAACTATACCACTAACAATACTGTTATACCACTAACTATACCACTAACAATACTGTTATACCACTAACTATACCACTAACAATACTGTTATACCACTAACAATACTGTTATACCACTAACAATACTGTTATACCACTAACAATACTGTTATACCACTAACACTGCTGTTATACTACTAACACTACTGCTATACCATTAACACTACTGTTATACTACTGTCACTACTGTTATACAACTAACACTACTGCTATACTACCGACACTACGGTTATACTACCGACACTACTGATATACTACTGACACTACTGCCTTACTACTGACAAATAAAGTTATACCACTGACACTACTATTATACCACTGACACTACTATTATACCACTGACACTAATGTTATACTACTGACTACTAACACTACTGTTATAACACTAACACTACTGTTATAACACTAACACTACTGTTATACTACTAACACTACTGCTATACTACTAACACTACTGTTATACTACCGACACTACGGTTATACTACTGTTATACTACTGTTATACTACGGACACTACGGTTATACTACTGACACTACTGTTATACTACTGACACTACTGTTATACTGCTAACACTACTGTTATACCACTAACACTACTGCTATACTACTAACACTACTGTTATACCACTAACACTACTGTTATACTACTGACACTACTGTTATACTACTAACACTACTGCTATACTACTGACATTACTGATATACTACTGACACTAATGTTATACTGCAGACACTACTGTTATAGTACTAACACTACTGCTATACTACTGACATTACTGATATACTACTGACACTACTGTTATACCACTAACACTACTGTTATACCACTAACACTACTGCTATACCATTAACACTACTGTTATACCACTGACATTACTGTTATACCACTAACACTACTGTTATACTACCGACACTACTGTTATAACACTAACACTACTGTTACACTACCGACACTACTGTTATACCACTAACACTACTGTTATACCACTAACACTACTGTTATACTACTAACACTACNCTATACTACTGTCACTACTGACACTACTGTTATACTACTGACACTACTGTTATACCACTAACACTACAGTTATACCACTAACACTACTGTTATACTACTGGCACTAATGTCATACTACAAGAGGCCCATGGGCCTTAACGGCCACCTGACATCCGATTCAAATTAGGACTGTCATCCAGGGGCCAAGTAACACTACTGCTATACTACTGTCACTACTGACAGTAGTATAGCAGTAGTGTTAGTGTTATAACAGTAGTGTTAGTAGTATAACAGTAGTTTCAGTAGTATAACAGTAGTGTCAGTAGTATATCAGTAATGTCAGTAGTATAGCAGTAGTGTTAGTAGTATAACAGTAGTGTCGGTAGTATAACAGTAGGTTCAGTAGTATAGCAGTAGTGTCAGTAGTATAACAGTAGTGTCAGTAGTATAACGGTAGTGTCAGTAGTATAACAGTAGTGTTAGTGGTATAAAAGTAGTGTCAGTAGTATAACAGTAGTGTCAGTAGTGACAGTAGTAAAGCAGTAGTGTTAGTGTTATAACAGTAGTGTTAGTGGTATAACAGTAGTGTTATTGGTATAACAGTAGTGTTAGTGGTATAACAGCAGTGTTATTGGTATAACAGCAGTGTTATTGGTATAACAGTAGTGTTACTGGTATAGCAGTAGTGTTAGTATGATAGCAGTAGTGTCGGTAGTATAGCAGTAGTGTAGTGTCAGTAGTATAGCAGTAGTGTCAGTATTATAACAGTAGTGTCAGTAGCAGTAGTGTTAGTGGTATAACAGTAGTGTCAGTAGTATATCAGTAATGTCAGTAGTATAGCAGTAGTGTTAGTACTATAACAGTAGTGTCTGCAGTATAACATTAGTGTCAGTTATTGGTATAACAGTAGTGTTAGTGGTATAACAGGAGTGTTAGTGGTATAACAGTAGTGTTAGTGGTCTAACAGTAGTGGTAGTAGTATAACAGTAGTGTCAGTAGTATAACCGTTGTGTCCGTAGTATAACAGTAGTATAACAGTAGTGTTAGTAGTATAACAGTAGTATAACAGTAGTATAGCAGTAGTGTCAGTAGTATAACAGAAGTGTCAGTGGTATAACAGTATTGTTAGTGGTATAACAGTAGTGTTAGTGGTATAACACTACTGTTATACTACTAACACTACTGTTATACCACTAACATTACTGTTATACCACTGACACTACTGTTATACCACTGACACTACTGTTATACCACTGACACTACTGTTATACTACTAACACTACTGCTATACTACTGACATTACTGATATACTACTGACACTAATGTTATACTGCAGACACTACTGTTATAGTACTAACACTACTGCTATACTACTGACATTACTGATATACTACTGACACTACTGTTATACTACTGACACTACTTTTATACCACTAACACTACTGTTATACTACTGACACTACTGCTATACTACTTACACTACTGTTATACCACTAACACTACTACTATACTACTAACACTACTGTTATACTACTGTTATACTACGGACACAACGGTTATACTACTGACACTACTGTTATACTACTGACGCTACTGTTATACCACTAACACTACTGTTATACTACTGACACTACTGCTATACTACTGACACTACTGTTATACCACTAACACTACTGTTATACTACTGACACTAATGTCATACTACAAGAGGCCCATGGGCCTTAACGGCCACCTGACATCCAATTCAAATTAGGACTGTCATCCAGGGGCCAATTCATACTTTTCGCCGGTCCGAGTGACCTTGCTGCATCGTCCATTAGTTATTCCTTGTGAACACAATAACTTCAGTAAATATGAACCGATTTTTTCATGAAACATTGTATGCAGCTTTTTATCAATGAGATCTTGGACAAGTTTGAATACTGGACCAATTTGACTATAACTTACACAGTTATTCCCCTTGGTTATTCTATTATTGTTGGACCCTGTGAACACGATAACTGAAATAAATGGGTGTGACACCAATTTTGACCCAAGGGGTCTGTTTTGAACAAACTTGGTAACTGTATGTCTTCTGTTCTTGGTTAAAAGAAACAAGTAAAAGCGTAAATCAATGATTTATCAAATAAGGCACAAAATTTTAATAGCACCTTGTTAGTAGCAAAATTCCGTCATGAATGAAAAAAAAGGTGTAGCTCAAGAATTTACATCTATTCTTGTGTAATGTCAATCAACATCACGGGGACAAATAATAATATAATGACAAAGGGCAATAACTCTGCAGGTTACCGTCAAATAATTACCGGACAAAGTTTCATTGAACTCCGTCAACATTTATTCAAGTTATCGTGTTTACAAGGTCGAATAATATTATTATTACAAAGGGCAATAACTCTGTAAGTTACTGTCAAATAATTCTAAGTTTCTTAGTCATCCGAGATTTTAATGATATAAGGCTACATACAGAGTTTCATCAAATTTGGTTGATATTTACTCAAGTTATCATGAACACAAGGTCCAATACAAAATAGTGTAATAATATTATTACAAAGGGCAATAATTCTATAAGTTACTGTCAAATAATTCCCATTTTCAAACTCATCCGAGATCTTATTGATATAAGGCTGCATATAAAGTATTACAAAGGGCATTAACTCTGCAAGTTACTGGCCAGTAATTCCCATTTTCGAACTTGTCCGAGATCTTATTAATATATGGCTGCATACAAAGTTTCATCAAACTCGGTTAACATTTACTCAAGTTATCGTGTTCACAAGGAAAAGTTAACGCACGACGGACGACGACGGACAAAAGGCTATCACAATAGGTAACCATGGCCTATGGTCAGGTAACCTTAAAATGGGCATGTGGTCTCATACATGGGACAAATAAAAAAAAATCTTTCCTTTTCCTGTTTTCATGGCATCTTGTCTCATTTTTCATCAGAAAAATACAAGGTGCTGTAAGACAAGAAGCATAATGGGCCTGAATCGGTCACCTGGTATTAATCTCACACTTGTAATCTTAAAAGTGGACTTAAATACAGCTGCAGGCAGAATATCAGTGTTTGATTCATAAGAACCTATTAAAAGATTTAAACATACGACGCCTGTGACTTTGAATGTCGAACAATGACTTTAGGTTGAACAGAGTTTATAGTCTACCACCCCAGCATGCTTTTGGCAAAATATCATTACCCTGGACCTTTTGGTTATACAAAACAAGTCATTTAAAGATTTAAACATATATTGACCACTGTGGCCTTAAATATGGGCGAAGGTCATTCATTTTAACAAACATGGTAGTCCTTCATCCGAGCATGTTAATGACCAAATATCAGCACCCTGGGCATTTTGGTTATTCAGAAGAAGTTGTTTAAAGTGTTCAACATATTTTACCCCTGTGACCTTGAAAATAGGTGAAGGTCATTTATTTGAACACATTTGGTAGCCATACATCCTAGTTTGCTTCTGGCCAAATATCATCACCCTGGGCATTTTGGTTAGTAAGAAGTTGTTTAAAGTAAAATATTGACGCCGGACGCCGCAACACTGCACCTTTGGGCCAGGTGAGCTAAAAAAACTATGAAAAAAGTACAAAAGACAAAATACCAAAAGTTCCTACCTTCATTTTATTGAAAGATCATCTGATAAAAAAGACATTTTACATTAACATGTGTTATTTAATAAATCACCTATTGAGAAAATTTAGCACAATAACAGTTCAGGATGTATGCTACATGTACACTGCACATTAAAACAGTGATTTTTCGAGTTTAAGAAGTATGCTACACTTCAAATTATAACAGCGATATGTGTTCAGGATGTATGCTACCCTGAGTTATCTCCCTTAAACACATTTGTTTGTAATTACTACTACACTAAAAGCTGTGCATGTATCATTTTGTACCTGTTACATCTATCATCATTTAATTAATCTGAATATCCAATCATAAACAACCATTTTACAGGTCCATCAGATGAAACTATTTTCCTTAGGAGATTCATATAACAATAATATGGTAGAAAATATCCTTACAAGTTCATAATTTACTGAGCTTTACAAAAAAATAAAAAATAAAATAAATATTATATACAACACAAAATGCTGTCAATAATTAATATGACAACTTCACATTGGAATGTTGGACGGATAATTAAATAAAGCACATCCTTGTTATCACAGTGCTCATAGCATGACAATGTAGTTATAAACCTGGGACAGGCGTCTGTACTTCTCTCCCCTAACACACCTCTCTCATACCACAGAAGTAACACTCATTCAAAACAACACTCAGTCATTTTCATTACAGGAGAGTCAGGTTAGAGCTGCTACTGAACACACAAGTCTTATGTTTGTACAGTGAACCTTTGACAATTCGAAAGTTAGTTTTCTATATGGTTCTATGAATCAATTAGAAGCTTTCTGTATGTTAATTACAATTAATGAACTTAACCCTTTCACCACTATAGACCATAATGAACTCATCTAGATTAATGCATGGTAGAGTCTACTAAAGTTACATAGGGGTGAAAGGATTAAAGACGCACATTTTTTCCAGAACTTAATTGTTGTAATACAAGTTCTGATTGGCTGTAGTGAATCCATGCAGTTACAACAGGTCATTGGACTAGCTATATTTGAAATGCATTATCATCGCAATCAACAAAAGCTTGAGAACTTTTCTTAATCTCTGACATAACATGTCCTTTTATTGGTTATAGTAAATAACACAATACAAACTTATCCTTTCCTCATCTGAATTCCTGACTGGGTGTATTTAGTACCCGTCCTGATTCACTGCAGAAAGATCTGATGTAACAAGTGCCCTGGTTGGCTGTATCTAGTATGTGCTGTAGTCAAACTTGTCTTGATTGGCTGTGGTGTTGCTGTGGAGCTGTTTGTTCTGTGAGGCTTTGTCCTTGAGCTTGGCCTGTAACAGCACGTGTTCCACCACACCCATCCGTATCTCCATCTGCATGTTTTCCTTCTTCAGCTGCTGGATGGCCTGTTTGATCTTCACCAGTGGAGCTGTCAACATCAACCACAAAATCATGTTTTTAATTACCTGGGTATAGAAAATCACAGCTCACCCTACTTTAACATTCCTATTACAGATCCAGTCTTACTAAACAGGCACATGTACATTATATACAGTGGCGTACAATTTGATTTTGAAAAGTTTTACTAGGTGATCATTATTTTCATAATGAATGTCGAAATCTTTCACTATAGTTCCAACATACAATCTACAATCCTCGAGCATCAGGTTGGTGGAATTGTACATCCCTGATATATATCTATATAACAAGCTCATTGACAAAATTAAATCTGTTCGGCATTGAACAGCACTGCAACCCATGGCCAGGTTCTAACTCCCTGTCACCTCAAAGGGCCTCACGCACCGTTTGCAACAGGAAAGAGCGCTGTATGCTTCCACCAGGGATAAAAGCCCTGACCCCAGACTGCCTGGTCAGGGCCTCTACCACTGAGCTAAAGGGAAATTCCCTCCAGCGCTACACTACAAAGCGATTGTAATCCTACGTACAATTAAAATCGGCCACAGTAGCAAGAAGCATTGCAATTTAATCAATGTTTCTATCTAATTCAGTTGCATTTCATTTATTTTATCAATTAACCTGTTTTCATTTGTAAAACTCAAAAACCTATTATTCTCCATTTCTGCTGACTTGCTATTTTGAAGGGAGACTCACAATTTCAGACCTTTACATTTAATATTTACAACCTGGGACTTATCTATGTTTAAAGACTTAATGTTCATCTGCAGGAAAACAACTTAAAACATCTTGAGGGGGGTTACCTGGTATATGCTTACATTTTATTTTTATTTTTAATTCCCCAGCACACAGAATCTTCCCCAGGAAAATTGTCTGTTTAAGATACTGTGTTCATATAAGTGTCACAAAGTGGGTTTATATCTGTGTGTGACAGAAGTAGGTCCCCCTGATGCTGAACACAAAGTGTGTTTATATCTGTGTGTGACAGAAGTAGGTCTCCCTGATGCTGAACACAAAGTGTGTTTATATCTGTGTGTGACAGAAGTAGGTCCCCTGGATGCTGAACACAAAGTGTGTTTATATCTGTGTGTGACAGAAGTAGGTC